AGTAAAATGAACAAGAGTAGAGAGAACAGCACACAAATGCAGAAAACAAAAACTGAACAAACAAACAAACAAAAACTTCAGGGAGCTGTTAAGTGTCCTAAAAGATAAATGATTGAGCAAAACAAAAGCTATAAGAAGGGGAATCCCACAAGAGGTGGACAAGTCTATCACAGAATCTGGTTGCTATGGTTAGATGCTTGTGCCCTCTCCCGAACACAACAGCATTAAAGCTAGAAGTGATCAGGAGGTAATCAGGTCATGAGGGTTCTGTGCTCATGAATGGGATTAGTGCCTTACTGGGGTTCCAGGGAGCCCATTCATCCCTTTTTGTCTGTCTGCCACATGAAGACACAGCCAAGAAGTGTCATTTATGGAGAAAAGAGTGGGCCCTCTCCAGACACCGAATTCATCTGCACCTTGATCTTGAACTTCCCAGACAAGTCTGAGGTCTTTTGTTATAGCAGCCAAATGGAGTAAGACACCAGGAAAGAATTAAGAAGTACAGGCATTAGAGATTTCAGGATGTGGAGGTACAGAATGGGAAAGAAAAAAACAGAAGGTAGATTTAAATTATTTAAAAAGAACAGTCAGGCCTCCAGATCTCATTCCCCAGGGCCAGGCAGCTACCATTCACCTTCCCTGACAAAGGATGAAACAAATGTGAACATGCCAAACAGTGCCACTCTCCTGTCTGGGCCAACAGTCAGAATGTGGGCAGTCAGGTATGAGTCATCCCCCAACCCAAAACACTACCAAAAGGCAGATAAATTCCTAGAAAGTGTCAGAACCTACAAAACCTTCTCCACATGGGCAGGTCCTTGCTTGATCGCATTACCAAGAAGTCAACGCACACCTCAATCCCTGCTTATATGCAGAGTTTACAGACCACTTTTTTTTAATATTTATTTTTTAGTTGTATTTGGACACAATACCTTTATTTTGTGTATTTATTTTTATATGGTGCTGAAGATCAAACTCAGGGCCCCGCATATGCGAAGTGAGTGCTCTACCACTGAGCCACAACCCCAGCCCTTATAGATTACTTTTTAAACTCATTCTTAAATAGGAACAAAGAACCAAAATCACTAGATGTTTGATAAACACCTCCAAAATAAAAGAGAGGGACAAAAACAAACAGAAGAAGGAACCCACAATAAACAGACACACTTGGGACTCAGGAAAGGAGCAATACAGAAAAGGATGAAGAAAGAACTCACATTCATGAAATACTGGATTCCGGATTTTAAAAAAATTGAAATATTTTTTCCCTAAAATCAGCACCTATTTTTAGAAATTAAAAATGAGAACCAAAAAAAAAAATAAAATAAAAGTTAACAGAAAAACTGAAAGGTATAAATTGGGAAAATCTAGCAGAAAGCAGACAAAAAAGGTAAAGAGAAAGGCAGGAATAAACAAATGGAAAAAGAAAAAAGTTAAAACATATTCATGAAATCATACAAGAAATATAAGAAAATTTCTGAGAAATAAAAGACACAATTATTCTGGTTGAAAGGACTCAAAAGGAACCCAGCAGAGAGTCAGGGGGAGGGGATCAAAAAACCACACCACACTAAACACTAAAAAAAAAAAAAAACACCATATGACTTAAGTCGAAAAACAGATGGCACAAGATCTTTCCACTGCAAGACTGGAAGCTAGAAGGCAATGGAGTGATGATGTCCAACATCAAATGACACCAAAAAATATTTCCCAAACCAGCACCATCCCAGGCAAATGCAATGGAGTGTGAGGTATAATAATGACACCTTTGCAAATACACAAAGCATCCAATCATTTGCCCTTGATGTGCCCTTTTTCTCAGGAAGTTCCTGGAAGATGAACATAGGCGGGAACAGACCAAGAAACCCCCTAAAATGACAGAGCAACCCCAAAAGAGGATGACAGATGATACAGCCTTCAGGAAACATGGGATCCAACAAAGGAAAGAAAGGGACTTCAAAGGTACGAGGTCCTAGTAGTGCAAGTGATGGCCTTAAAGGAGCCTTGGAAGCCAGCAGTTCAAACAGGAAGAACAACAAGGAGCAGAAGAAAGGACAAGGTGGATGGAGGACAGACTTGTATGCTTCTGTAGGTACTGAGAGAAGATCTGTGATCTGTCAGAGTTTGAAAATGAATTTATGATAAATAAATAAATAAATAAAGGAACAAAACCACATTAACTCCACGAAAAAAAATATACATTGTTTGATAAAGGAAACAGAATATAGTCTTAGCTGTAAATAATAATAAAATCACTGAGAACTGATTTAAATATAAATACAATTGAAGTATATGAGGACAATAGGGGTAGTGAAATTACAAGAGGAAAGAATAATAAGAGAACTGGTTTCATCTTCCATGGCAGGACATTCGAAAATATCCTAAGCACCAGAGCACAACAGGATAACCACATTATTAGGAAATACAAAGGTAACTACATGAGAAACAGCTAAAAAGGTTCAAAGCAGTTGTCACTAGAGAAAAGAAATTGCAGTGGGGAGGGTTAGAGCACTAGCAGAGGCAGACAGAACTATAATAATATTTGGCTATTTAAATATGTCTGTATTCCATTTTGATTAAAAAAATTAAATGAATGAATGACAGGTAAAGAGAAAGGGCTTACAGACGTTTTCTTTAAGAAGTATAAATACTCTAGCAAAAAAAATAATCTACTGGTCAAGAAATATATTTTTAGTTAATTTTTTTTTTTTTTTGAGTTTGCAGAAATACTGAAAGGGAAGAAACCATGAGGAAGAAATCATTAAAGTAGCAGGAAGGTGACAGAGCATCGAAAGGAAGAAGGTCTCCAAGGAGGAAGAGAATAAGTGCAGCCACATCAGCCTAGACAGAAATACAGAGTTCTTCCTCAGTGGACAGGGTAGAGGACGCGGGAAGGAGGAAAGGAAAATAGGTAGGTGAGGAAGAAACATCTCATGGCTAGATGGTGGAGACATAGCCTGACGTCTCTGCATGGGAATGAAGTAAAGAAGTAAGATCCTGAAGGCACCTTAAGAAAATGGCAAGTACAGGCTGGGACTCAGTGGTAGAGCACTCAGTGGTAGAGCACTGAGTGGCAAAGCACCTGATTAGCACATAGGAGGCCCTGGGTTCGATCCTCAGCACCACATAAAAATAAATAAAATAAAGGTATTGCATTCAACTACAACTAAAATATAAATATTTTTTGGAAAAAAAAAAGAAAGAAAGAAAATGGCAAGTCCTGCCAGTTGTCGGGGTGCACATCTATGATCTTAGCAACTCAGGAAGCTAAGAGAAACCCACATTTGAGGGCAGCCTCAGCAACTTAGCAAAACCCTGTCCCCTGTCTCAAAATAAAACATTAAAAAGGGGTGGAGAAGGGCTGGGGTTGTGGCTCAGTAGAGCACTCGCCTAGCACATGCAAGGGAGGCCCTGGGTTCGATCCTCAGCACCACAAAGAAAAATAAATAAAATAAAGGTATTGTGTCCAACTACAACTAAAAAATAAATATTTTTTTTAAAGCGGGGTGGGAATATAGCCCAGTGGTGAAGCACCTCTGTGTTCAATCCCCAATTACAAAAAAAAAAAAAGAAAGATAAGTCCAATTTGATGAGTAAATTTGATTTTTGATTTTCACACTCATTCAATGTGGTATTTGTACATTATCATTTTCTATGCTTCAATACTTTATAAAAGATTCATATCATGTTTACACTAGAGCTGTTAACAATGTGTTTTCACCATGACTCCTCAAGAACGCTCTTATACATTTGTATACAACCAAACTCATCATGGTGCCCAACATGAAATGACTTTTTGTTGTATGAATCTATAAACATTTATTTCCAGAAGTACAAATGGATATCCCATTCAGACTGTAGGCAGTCAACACATCATATCATACACATGTACTACCTTAAAGTATTTTTATATGCCAGAACAGTCAGCATTCAATAACTTTACCATATACTTAAAAATAATATCTACTGTCCCATCATAGATAAACCTTCCCCAAAAAAATTCTGACTTAAGTTTTCTATGTCTCATGACGAAATATATACAAAACGAAGGATCTCTTAGGGTGATGCCCCCATGTTGACTATCAAAACAACAGGGAAGACTACATGGATCTACAGCTCTCTCATGGGTTCTAACTTAAACCTCAGAGACATTCATAATCAATAAAAAATCCATAGTTGGAAATCAATACCTGCCATACCTAATAATAAATCTAAACATTTTATGGCTTAAAGTATCAAATTTGTTGATTTGAAACTAATTTAAACACAATTTCTGTTTATCACGCATATCCTAATATTTCAAAATACTCTAATTTTACATTCTTTCCAAGAGGGAAAGATAGTTATTTTTTCACTACAAAAAAACATGATATTAATGCTAATTTTTAAATAAATCTGTTTATACTCAAAACTGATTTCCTTGAAAATTACTCTTTTTCCACAAAATATTTCAGATCCATCTCAAAGAGGTTCAGGTATAGAGGGAATTTAAAAAATAAATAAAAGCAAGAGCTTCATTTGCCATTTAAATGTTTTTAGTTTTTTGAGGATTTTTAGTGCTATTAATTAATGTTAGTTTAATAGAGACAACTAATTTGCAAAGTCTATCTCCAGTGCCAGATTATGTCAATGAGTTCTATCTTCAGTTTCACAAAGTTCCAAAACAGAATTATAATTATCTAAATGATTTCAGCTAATTAACAATTTAAAACAAAATATAATTGGTACACTTTCCCTTATATTTCACAAAGTTCACAAAACTAAGTTCCAGTTATATTACATGAAAAAATACTAACAAGTGAAATCTTCATAATTTCACCCTTTTAGCCTTTCAGAATTGTTTCAGAATACCCCCCCCAAAAAATGTATTTTATGATATAAAAAGATCTCCTGAAAATAGAGCTTTGTTGGCTGTACCTTTAACATACAGTTAAATCAGAGTCTACAGCTTCCTAATGACTTCTAGTTTCAAGAGGGCAAGAACATGTTTTCTAAAATACCTGATTTGGACTTCAGAATAACCTGAATAGTATGTCCATCATTGGTGACTTCACAGTCCCGGCAGACCACGTAATTTGGAGAGAGGCGGACATCCAGCAGGGAGGGGTCATACCTAGCTTCTCTTGAATTTAGGTTAATAGGAGACTGGTATTCCCCGTTAGCATCAGGAAACACCAAGCCCCACTCAACACCTAAGGACACAATGAAAAGAAAAAAAAAAAATCAGGAACAGGTTAAGAAAAAAAAAGTAAGTTAAAGTAAAATTTAACATGTGAAAACTAGTTTAAAGTCTTATAACTTTTGATGTTATGAAGAGGATTTTGACTACCACAGCTCTACAAATGAAATATGGTGTATGTGAATTTTTGCACTCATTATATAAATGAGCTGATATTATCAAATACACATACAAAATCCTTAACTAATGAATTTGTTAAGACAATCTGTATTTTGTCTACATAGATATAATAATTAATGGCTCTAGAAAATTAAAGTCATCTCTAAGTGACTATACAAAAAAATACCACACACAAAAAAAAAAAATTCCTGGACTCTTTAGTTCAATTATGTTCAGGACTTAGGAAATAACCTGGAACTTTCAACATGCTTAGTGAGAGCCAAGAACTATCACTGTCTTATCAGAAATGCAAACTCAGTGAAGTGTGCATAAGGATAACTAGATATACATAAATGTACTCCTTCCAAATATTTTACAATTAAAACTGTACATTCTATATTTCAGTATATGTAGTAAACATCAGCGCTAAAGGTGAGCTATTGAGAACCCTACGTCTTCGGGGATAAATTTGGGAAACTAAATTTCTCTTTGATAAAAAGTCAACCCCTTCTCCCAAGCCCACAGATCCAGTTTGAAACTTAGGACAAGTTTTCTAAAGACTTGAGCGTTGTTACTATCCGTCATGAAAAGACTACAAAGCAATAAATAGTTTCACTGCCATCTCAAAATATTAATATGTACCGCGACTCTTCTTGGCTACTCTTTTAAGTCCCCGCTGCCTGGCAGCAGCAGGTGCGAACCATAACGGGGCAAGAAGGCCAAACACCTACACCCTCCCAGGTCACGAACCTGGGCGGGCGGCAGCAAAATGCAGGCGGCGGGCACGCCTCCCTGAAGCGCCTCTAGCCCTGAAAGACTGCAGTGCCCCCGTGAGAAAGTGTGGACGCGCGCGACAACCGCAGGGCGCAGAGCCACGCGCTCCGCGGGACGCTAACGCGCCGACCCGTGCCCGACACCCAGACGCGTAATGGGTTACCTTCCTCGTAGCCCCACTCCACGCCCTCCTCCTCTTCCTCTTCATCCTCCTCCTTCTCTGGGAAGGCGACGGTATCTTCGATGAAGCTCAGGTCAGCCATAAGAAAGTCCCTGGTGTCTCAGCTCTCTCTCTCCACAGGTGACTGCGCCTGGGCAGGACCAGCGCTCCGAGGTGCGCGTGGGAGTGTGTGTGTGCGCGCGCGGGGGCGCAGCGTGGTGTGAGTGTGTGCGCGCCGCCGTGGGCGTGGGAGCGCGTGCGAGAGAGTGTCCGCGGGTGCGGGGCGGGCGGTCGTACAGCCGGCCCGGAGCTTTGCAGCCACCAGCCGCGCAGCGCGCCTGGACTCTGGGTGCAGACGGGGAACCGCGGCAGGACTGGGAGCAAGCGACCGGCGATTTATAAACCCGGCTGAGGCGTGTCTGCACGCGAGGATCCGCCCCCTTCGCTCAACGGCCTGGGGACCCACAGAGCGAACTGCAGGAAACAGGGCTTCGGGACTATGGACGAAAGCACAGAAGCAATATGGGCACCCCACTTCCTCTCCGCGAGGTGGTCCCCACCACCCCCGTGTCTTCTTTTCAAAGCCCCCCGCGAATCTCCTAAAGTCAGCCCTCGGGGACCCCATACCCCGGCCTGGAACACACGCTCTCTTCATTTATTTATTTCATCTTTACTCCAGGAAATACCAAAAGAGATTTGGAGAGGAGAAAGATGGAGGGAAGAAATGACAACTGAAAGACCCCTTAACAAAATTTTTAAAAAGGATTTCTCCCCCAGAATCTTTTTATTACTCAGCATTTACTTTTTAATTCATCCTTAGAACACAGTGAAAACGAACGTGGAAATTTTTCTGAGATAGTTGGGATTCCTAAAAACATTTCAGGAAAAAAAAAAAAGATAGTTTTAATGTCGAAACGAAGATATTCTTGGAGGGAAATTGTGCATGTAAAAGTATTATTTCAAAGGCAAAACTAGTGAAGTGCTTGTAGCTTCGGAGTCTCGGCTGCTACAGGCTCACCTTGCTGTGTACACAGCTCCCAATCATTTAGTGAAACCGTGTAAATAATGAAATGCACACATTGCATAACAGGAACTTTCCTGATCCAAAGCGGTCACATTGTTACCTTTTGAACATGCTTAATGATTTCAGCCCCCTTTTCCAGTGCCCTATTCGGTGGTAAACCCTAAACTAGTTGACTCCACATTTTTAGATTTATATGCCTAATAAGCTCAGATTCTAGCCTTAAGTACAATTTGTTTTTCATATGCCCCCATGCACACGCCAAAATGTCTATTAGTAATTTGAATAGTCTTTGTTCTAAATCATGCTATCCTTATGAATGCTTAATTTTTCAAAAGGATAGAGATGATTGATTTGGGGAATGTTTGGATTCTGTGCTCCTGTCCTTCAATGCCTGCTCAGCACCTTCACTTAAAAAAAAAAAAAGTCTAAATAATTTTTTTTAAAAGCTGGGGGGCTGGGAATATATATGGCTCATAGGTTGAGTGCCCCTGGGTTTAATCCTAAGTGTCAAAAAAAAAAAAAAAAAAAAGAAAGTCACATCACAAGCCTATTTCAAACCTCTCCAGAAAGTGGGTTGGGTCTGAAACTGAGAAGAACTCAAATCAATCAATTCTACCACTTTCTGGAAAGTTCAGTAAAGTAAGTGAAAACTGCTTGCCAACTTAATTTTAAGATTTCAAACATTTGTGTAATTTCTCTTTCCCCTTACTGCAAACACTAAAGCTGTTCTCATTCACAGGATCAAAACAGTCTGAGACTAAATCCAATCTTCATTCACTGTCTTCTGGGGCTTCTTCATTGGACACTCTCTCTCTTTTTTGCAAGTCAGTAAGCCTGAGATTAACCGAAGTCTACCCTAAAGACATAGCTATTAAAACTAGTGAGTACTACCAAAACTATTAACCACTTTCCATGGAAGTTCTTCTAAAAGATTTCACTCATTTTTCTTTACTTGGAAACATTTTTTGCAATGTTGAACTTGTTTCGAGTTTCTTTTTAGAAATATGTTCACCCATTAATCAAACCCTACAGCTAATGAACCCCATATAAAGGAGGACTTCAGAAATAAAATCACTTTACCAATCTGAGCTTATACAGCAATAATAATTTCCTTTTTTTCCTCAGGTGTACATAGATGTGATATTGTAACCATTGTGTAACCACCAATTACATTTAAAGAAAGTATCACATAAACATAAAGATGCTTACCAAACCAGGAGACAGAAAAATCACCTAATCAAACAACTGAGTTTTCCTCAAGTAAAGGGTGTGTGTGCATATTTACAAAGAATAGGCTGAAAGATTGAATTGTTAATATTGAATTTTGCAGCTAATAGACAATTTTGCATATAGCTGGCAATGCATTGCCATTCAAAACTGTAGTTGCCTACTGGACAAATATTTGTTGGCACATATTTGTTCTTTCTGGACTTTTTAGCATCGTTTGCATAATGTTGCTCCTACAAGCAAGCACAGGATACCCTGTCCAGCCACATATGAGCCACTCTACTCTGCATCCAAATATTCAATTAACAATCTTAATTGCTTTGAGACTGTGTGCTTCAGATTTCTGCTAATTAACAGCACCTTAAGACCTTCTCTCCTTAGGTCCCTGTACTATATTACCACCAAAGATGGAATTTCTATTTCTAGTTATTATAAAATGTCTGTCACCATAAAAACCTAAACACACAGATCAAAGATATAGGCTAATTCTTGGATTTACAAAATAGAACAAGCACATCTAAATCCAATATCAGAGAATCTAAAAATATTCATGCTCTATATTATGAATGTAAGTGTTCTACATATCCCCTTGTATGATATTTAATCCCTTACAATGTAATATCATATTTGATCCTTTAAATTATTCTCGTATTACTCACTTTTAGTGTTTATATACTAAGGTCAAACTGCATCAGTAGAACAATTTCTTAGAACTAAGTCCTATATAACTAATTAGCATTATACTAAGAGAATATAAATAGAAATATCTAAAAGGACAAACTAATCTAGATATCAGAGGAACAGAGGTACTAAGAGTGATTCACAGCACCTGATAACCTGCACGGCCCTCTCCTCCCAATCTTTTCTCACCATATCCTACCTTACCAAGGCTTTCTTCTCCTAGTGGTAAGTTTGGCCCTCGAATAATCATAAACAATGATTACCTTCCTCTCTCTGTCTGCACCTTATGTTCTGGGAACACCTAGAGGGCAGAGCTAATCTGTGCATATCAAATGCGTTCTGTCCAGATTGTAATTCACAAACTTCAGCCATAAATGGATGGCTGTATTCCTTCCTGTGCACTGCTCTGCACTAGACACTGCAGAGACCCCAAACTGAATAAAACACTGTTTCTACCCTCGAAGAATTCAGTTCTCTGGATGAGTGGGAAGTGGGTGTAAATAATTAACTACAACATAAGACGTGAAATGTGTTAAATAGAGATGCAAGTACGACTAAATCTAAGAAAGATGGGAAAGATCCAGAAGGGTTTCCTAGAAAAGATGACATTTAGGCAAATGTAAAAAGATGAGTAGAATTTGAGTTGGCAATAAATGAGTACAGAACACTCCAGGCATGAACAATGATGCTAGATCATGAAAGTGCTCAATGTGAATCCATGTTCTCCATTAAATGCCTTCTGTGATCTGCCAAAACCAATTCAGACACAGTAAAAATGTGTCCCTCTATAGCTTTACACCCGATGCAAAACACTCCCCTCATTGTTCATTCATCTGGTTTTCTTTTTGTTATTGTTGTTTGTTTGGTTTGGTTTTGTAAGGAAAGACATCAAAATTTTCCTTGGTATACTTTCCATTCCTGAAGATTTCAAACTTTGTTCATAAAAAAAGAAGTGTTGATTCTTTCTTTTAAATTTCTTTAGTTGGTTATAAACCTTCTTTTGTTTGACGACTTCTTAGTCTTTCTTTGTCTTCAGAAACATCAGCTTATAATCTTAGGGCTGTATTGCTATGGTGTTATTCCTCACATTTGCTGCCCCTTTGCTGCTTGGTCATGTGACCTTCTTTGACCAACTAAATATGAGTAGAAGTAGCATATGTCATTTTCTTTAGCAGAAAGCTTTAGGAATTATTGTGTTTTCAGCATTTTGTGTGCTCCCTTAAAATAACCAGTCCAAGAAAAGCACTATTCTTTCATCTAAATCCCTGGAATGAACATGATCATAGATAAAAGCCATAGCCAACTAGAAGTTGATGTGTAATGTCAGTGAGATATAAACCTTTTTTGTAAACCACTGAGACTTGGGGGCCATTTGTTACAGCAGCAAAACCTAGTAAAAGCTGACTATTACAGTAGCCCATCAGGTAAAGATGAGTTGGAAGGTAATTTATATTTGCTCAGATTTTTTTGTGTGTCTATCTTTTTTAAAACTAAACAGTCTAAAACAATGCCCTTATATTCACCTTGAAAATTTCTTAGAAATCCTTATCGTGACTAGGATTATCATAGCTTCCTAAAAGAATGGGAAAGCCCTCACCCATAAAAAAATCCCTGTCACCTCTAAGGGAAAATTGATCACAGTTCTCACTACTTCTCTGAGAAGTAAAAGTTATGCCTGAGGCCTATACTCACCCACTTCAGTGCCAAAATGACTGGTACTGAAGTTGGAATGTTTGAGATCATAATACCAGTGACTGATAAACATATGATTATCGCAAACAAAACTTTCTCTGGGAGCCTTTTGCTAAACAAAACCCCCACCCTGCTGGTTAAAGTGCCTCTTCTTAATGCTTGCATAATACACAGATCTCTAGCCCTGAAATTCAGATTATATTTTAAAAACAAATTTCCTGATTACCATCTTATCTAATAGACAATGAACTCCCCAAGAGCAAGGGGTTCATCTTTTTTCTCTTTGTATCCTTCATGCAACACAAGGTAGGCACTTAGGAATTAGTTTGCTTATGTCACCAGCCATTCAGTGACCTGATCAGCCTTTAAAAATATGAGTGCAACGAAAGTTATCGTTACTAGGTGGAAGCTTTCAGGGTGCAGTGGGGCCTCAGAAAGGGAGTGGTCAAGTTTACCTGGTGGCTGGCGTGTCAATAGGATCTTCATAAAGGAAGTGACACGTGAGCCGTCTTAAAAGATAAGCAAGTACTCCTTTGCCCACAGAGGGGAAAGGAAGGAAGGTAAGGAAGTGGACCTTCCACTCCCAAGGAAAAGCAAACAACAAAAACTTGGATACAGCAGCCAGTGTAGGTTCACTTTTGAAATCAAATTTCTTTTCTTTTTTCCTATGGTGTTAATAAAAGGGGGAAATGATGTAAGTAGTATCTGTAGTTTGTTTAAGTAATATTTTTAAAACATCTCTAAATAATCTCAGGACATGAAATAAATTACAAAGTAGATGATCTGCTTAAGTGAATATACATCGTTGGCAAAACAGCAATACTCTAATAAATGTGCAGAGGCTTTTTTGACTTTAAGAGAAGATGCCATGGCCAAGTTAGAATGGCCCTTTAGCCACATCCATTCTTCATTTCCCACAGGAACTGGAACTCTTCACTCTGTCCTGTTGTGCAAAATGACAATCCAAATCCCAGGGAAATAATAACTTGAGCATTGTGATCACTTCCAAAGATGGCTGCCATAATTCTTCAAATAGGCATGTGCTGTTCTTCTTGAATCAGGGCTGGTTTTATGACATGTTTTGTCCGATAGACTATATATAGAAGAGTGACCATATGCCAGTTTCAGACTGAGCCTTTGAGAGGGCTGGTCACTTCTTTTCCCTCAGAAACCAGTCATCATGTAAGAAATCCTTCCACCCCAAGACCACCATGCTGTGAGAAAGCCCAGGCCAACCACAGGGAGAGAGAAGGCGATGGAGAGGCATGGAGACACAGCCAATGTAAGACCTTCCAGCAGTCTAACCACCAGCAGAATGCAGCCAAGTGAGCCCAGGTACCATTCTGTGAAAGAGAAAAAAGATGCCCATCTGGGTCATCCCTGAATTCCTAGTCCACAAAATCACGAGAAATAACAAATCAGTGTTTTAAGCCAATTTGTTTTGTTATGCAGCACAATTATTTACTATGTACCAGATACCATGACAAATACTTCCCACAGATGATTTCCTTTAATTCTCACAAGAGGCTCAGTAATAGCATCCCATATTCGGAGGAGAAAATGAAGGCTCAGACTTATCTACTGCCTTAGAGAGAAGCAGTGGGTGATCTGAGGTTGTTCTGACTCCATAGTCTGTGCTCTGAGCCACCAAACCCTGAGCTCTGAGCTCAGGTGGGTGAAACGAGCCATTGTGCTGGACTCTATCACCAGGAGAGGGTGGCTTATGGAAACACTGCGGGGAACCAACCATCAATCCAAAAGCACACTCCAGCCCTACAGCACCCTTCCTCCAAGCAAACCCAGGGATAGATTGGGCCAGTTTTTTTTTATTCTAATTTGTTACATATGACAGAAAAAATGTATTACACTTCATATTACACATATACAGCACAATTTTTCATATCTCTGGTTGAATACAAAGTATATTCACACCATTCGAGGCTTCATACATGTACTTAGGGTAATGGTGTCCATCTCATTCCACCCTCTTTGGACCAGTTTTGACAGCTGCAGTCAGAGAGGTCTAAAAAGAAAGAATAAAGGAGGCTAAGTTGGAAAAAAAAACACAACCAAAACTTTAAAAAAAAATAGACTTTCTCTTTTTTCTATTTTTAAAGCAATTTGTTGTTACAGAAAAAATTAAGCAGAAAGCACTGAGAGCTCTCCTACACCTTCTCTCCTCGTTCCAATTTTCCCAGTTATTAATATTAATGTGATGCATTTGTTACAATTAATGAGCCAATATTGGTACATTATTGTTAACTAAAGTCTATAGCTTACATTAGGGGGTCACTGTCTGCAATGGACATTCTTTGTATAACTTTAAGTCTCTGCTTAGGAATAGAAGCCCCTTTTGAAGAGATTTGCTCCCAAACCAACCCTCCTCTGCAAGCATGCCCTAGTCCCTCCCTGCATGCTATGGCCTGACCTCTCCCCCTCAGTCCTTCAGACCCTGCTTATTTGAGCATCACAAGGTTACTTGTCCACACCTTATCTACAGTCTCAGGCTTGTCCTGCTCAGACCAGCAACCCAGGATTTGATCTCTTGTTAGATATTTTAGTCAGTTATTTTTCTGCTGCGACTAAAGGATCTGACCAGAACAATTTTAAAGGAGGAAAAGTTTGAGGATTCACGGTTTCAGTGGTCTAGAGAAGGCCAACTCCATTCCCCAGGGCTCAAAGTGAGGCAGAACATCATGGCAGAAAAGTGTGGCAGAGGGAAGCAGCTCGAAGGGTTATCCAGAAGCAGAAAGAGAGACTCCACTAGCCAGATACTAATACATACCCCAAAGCCATGCCCCCCAATGTCCCACCTCCTCCAGCCACACCCTAACACTTTAGTTACCATTCAGTTAATCCTTATCAGGAAATTAATTTACTAATTGGGTTAAGACTCTCACAACACAATCATTTCTCCTCTGAAACTTTTTGTACTCTCTCACTCATGAGCTTTTGGTGAACACGTCACATCCAAACAATAACAATAGGCTGAGGTGTCTTTACATTGGCAAGTAATTTATTAAATCACTATTATGTATTATGTGTACAGCATGATTGAGCTCATTAATTCATAAAACATGAGTAAAGGTGAATTTTTATGGCTAAAGAAACTGAAACTTAGAGAATTAATGGACCAAGGTCTCACAGCTAATAAAGGGAGGAGGTAAGTCCTGAATGTATCTCTGACCAGCTCCAAAGTCAGATCTCATTCCATGGCCCCCCAAAAACCTTGCACCTGAGAGGCAGGTGTTAGTCTCCATTGTACCAAAAAGTCCATTCAAGGTGTCAGTGGTTATTCATTCATTCCTCACATTTGTTACCAAATCTCTGTGGGACTTGAATTGCAAAGTACCTATTTAGCAACCTAAAAGGCTACTCCTTAAAAAACGAAAAGCATTCAAGATGTTTTAGGTTAAATATTTCTATTCCATAAAGAGTTTGTGTAATGAGAAGGAACCAGGAACACTAATGGAATACACAAAGCAATAAACATTTTAAATGCTACTGGAGCACAGCATGTTTACGAATGATTGGAACCCCCTGATTAGACTTTGCTGGTCATTATTTTTAGCATCATTATCCCTGATGGAAGAGAAGGGTGAGCTTGATGCTAAATATATTAAGCACTAAGCAAAACTAACTATGCTATTTTCAACTGGACCTCTATTTAAGAAGCAGTAAGAAACAATACAATAACTTTATATTCCCCACCTTGCTAGAGAAGATGTCAGAAAAATAAACTGTAACTACAACATGAAAACTTTAAATAAAATACAATGATTATCACATATTAAGAATTATTTAAAGTGGAACTTTCCAAAATATATCCAACTTTAAAATCTGGTGGAAACATTTATTAAATGTATTATCATCATTAGCATAATATAATACATTAGAAAGAGTATAATAGCTTTGTTGCGTAGTAAGTTCTGATCTTTATCAAAACTTATTTTTCTCATTAATAAAATGAGGACAGTAATTGCACCAAATCAAAAAACTATTGGGAGGATTAAATAAATTAATAGATAAAGCAACTGGAATAGTACAGTCAGATTCATTAGAATGCTTGTTTTGAAAATGCAAATTAGTTCCCATGAAATTAACATATTAGAGAACAATTTGAGCACATTAGGGCTTCGGTGTTTATTTATGCCACTTTCACATGTAAAAATACAAAGGAAACAAATAGAAAACCACATCCAATTGAACTGAGCCCAGTTCAAATAGCCACAACTACCTCAGTTCAGGTACTGCAAGTCCCCTCTGTCCTCACCTGGTGTTACACTTCCCATCAGGTTGCAGGCAACCCTCCTGCCATCCCTTCACAAAGCCTAAGCTGTGGACCTCTCCACTTTCATAAGCGAGCACCAAGTTAAAATGCCATATTTATCTGATCATTTATGATTCTTTTAACCATTGAATGTGTGTAAAAAAAACTGATGGCATTTTTTTATAATACAGAATAGCAAATTTTAATAATTTTACTACTAAGTTATAACTAATAACATTTTTAAATGTTGGTACAGGATTGAACACAGCAGTATTCTACCACTGAGCTACATCCCCACCCCTTTTTATTTTTTTTAATTTGTTTTAATTAGTTATACATGACAGTAGAACACATTTACGCACTTTGATATATCATACATGGATGGGAAATAATTTCTCTTTTTTCTGAATGTACATGTTGCAGAGTCATATTGGTTATGCAGTCACATATATACATACAGTAACAATGTCTGTTTTGTTCTACTATCTTTCCTATCCCCATTTCCCCTCCCCTCCCCTCCCATCACTTCCCTCTACCTAATCTAAGGTAACACTATTCTTCCCTAGTTCCCCTGCCTTATTGTGAATTAGCATCCACATATTAGAGAAAACATTTCAGCCTTTGGTTTTGTGGGATTGGCTTATTTCTCTTAGCATGATATTCTCCAACTCCAACCATTTACTGGGAAATGCCCTAATTTTACTCTTCTTTAAAGCTGAGTATTATTCCACTGAGTATATATACCACATTTTCTTTATGCATTTGTCTATTGAGTCTAGCTATTGTGCCTAGCTATTGTGAATTGAGCTACTATAAACATTAATGTGGCTGCATCACTATAGTACACTGATTTTAAATTCTTTGGGTATAAACCAAGGAGTGGGATAGCTGGGTCAAATGGTAGTTCCATTCCCAATTTTCTGAGGAATCTCCATACTGCTTTCCATAGTGGTTACACCAATTTGCAGTTCCACCAGCAATGTATGAGTGTACCTTTTTTACCACATCCTTGCCAATATTATTGCCTGTATTCTTGATGTTTGCCATTCTGACAGGAGTGAGATGAAATCTTAGAGTAGTTTTGATTTGCATTTCTCTAATTGCTAGAGATGTTGAACACTTTTTCATATATTTGTTGATCAATTGTACTTCTTCTGTGAAGTGTTCAGTTCCTTAGCCCATTTATTGATTGGGTTATTTAGGTTTTTGTTTTTGTTTTTTGTTTTTTTTTTTTTTTTTTTTTGGTGTTAAGTTTTTTGAGTTCTTTATGTATCTTAGAGATTAATGCTTTGTTGGAGGTGCATGTGGTAAAGATTTTCTCCCAATCTGTAGGCTCGCTCCTCATTTTATTAATTGTTTCCTTTGCTGAGAAAGAGCTTTTTAATTTGAATCCATCCCATTTATTAATTCTTGATTTACTTCTTGTTCTTTAGAAGTCTAGTTAAGGAAGTCAGATCCTAGGCTGACATGGTGAAGATTTGGGCCTATTTTTCCTTCTATTAGGCACAGGGTCTCTGTGCCTAATAGAAGAAAAAATAGTACCTAAGTCTTTGGTCCACGTTGAGTTGATTTTTGTACAGGGTGAGAGAAAGAGGTTTATTCATTTTGCTACATATGGATTTCTGGTTTTACCAGCACCACTTCTTTTCTCCAGTGAATATTTTTGTCACTTTTGTCTAATATAACCCAACCATATTTATGTGGGTTTGTCTCTGTGTCCTCTATTCTGTACCATACTGATGGAATTTTATTAGATTCCTCTGTATGTTTGTGTGTGTGGGGGGGTGTTACTGATAAAATTTTGAGTTACTGAACCACTAAATCTATTTTCCCCATAAACCCGATAGTAGTTATTGCCAATTTTGCATACCATAATGGTTTTTAGAAGTATATATGTAACGTTATAGCAAAACTGACTCTATCTGGCATTCAATAAACATGCATATAATGTAATTATTATGAGAAACTAACTGTACATATGGCCTGTGTATTTTCTCAAATGATTATGTTGGGTTAACTTTATTATTATTAGTTTGAATACTTCCTGGGTTGTTGTTATTACTGTCTCATATTCAGGAATGTCTTCATTATTTGTGCATTTGTGAGATTGCTCAAAGTGTACAAAACAAGAATTGTCCACCACTTAGGAATTTCAGATGTACTGAGTGGAAAAAACACACATCGTACCCAGGCAGGGGTTATGGACCAAGCAGTGATGAACACATTTCAGGCACTGTTGGGTTAATTTACGCAATCCTCACAACTCGATGATGTATTATCTCCATTTTAAAGATGAGAAAAATGAAGCTCTGAGAGTGTGTGTGAGTTACCCAATATGACAGAAACAAGTGTGCTAGCTTGGAAGATCACAGGACTTCCTTTATTCCAGTGATAGAGTTCTGTGACTCCGGAGCATGATGGACAATCCATAAAGAGCTGCATGGCAGGGGTATTTGTTGTTCAGTGATAGAGCACATGCCTAGCACATATAAGGTCATTGGTTTGATCTGTAGCCCTGAAAAGAGAGAGAGAGAAGAAGAAGAAGGAGGAGGAGGAGGAGGAGGAGGAGGAGGAGGAGGAGGAGGAGAAAGGAAACTTGAAAAATAAATTGTTGCTTATCAATGATTAACAAACTAAAATCTGTTTTTCAAAAAGAAATTTGACATTCAAAATGTATTAAGTTCCTCTTGATACACAGAGAGAATCAGGATGCTAGAAATTAGAATTCATCATTTCTTGCTCTGACTACTATG